AAGCATACATAAACTTAAAAACCCTAGTGACAGCAAAAGTAGCTCACCCTTTTCAGCCCCTAGGAGTAGGAAATTAAATGAGGGATCGCGGCAGCAAAAAGAATAATAGAGGAAAAAAGAATGGGAGAAAAACGTCGCTTCATAACTCGCCGATTAGCTGATTGTGCGTGGGTCCTAAAACGAATAGTAGCAATCTGTATTGTCTCGACACTCGTCTAACGTGACACCGATCGAGGGGCGGGAACGCGAACTACGGCAACAACGGGGCTGCCACTATGCCCTGGACGTCGAAATTGGGGGAGTGAGAGGGCCCTTCTACAACCCATGGGACCGCTGAGATTAATAAGGTAAGAACTCGATAACTTTTTTATCGTGAACGGTGCCTTTAAGGGTCCGGGAACTTTTCCCCTAACACGACGTCGCACACGACGCACCCGCCGCCCATCGCAGGATTGCGATGGAAGATTGGAGCGCACAATTTGTGAGGTAAAGAGTCCTTTAATTATTTGAATTGGCTGGCCGCTCTTTTCAATTCCAATGCGGTCTTGATCGTCGTTTATATAGGAGGAGTCATTTTAATTAATCAAGTCTAATAAACATGAAAACTAAAAAGAAACAGAGGTAAAAACGATCAAATCCAATGAGAAAGCAAGCCAATCAACGAAAAGTATCGCGTCCTATCGATCGGAGACGGGGTGAGTACGGTAATTGCAGTGACATTTATCGCATGCCGCAAGGGAGAATGCCGCGATAAGGGATAAGTTCCGTTACCCGTGCCTTTGAGCCACTTGGCTCCTCCGTATAGTCCCTGATTAGAGGAGGACCTTTTGGGTTCGCAGTCCCAGTTTGGACTCTTGGAAAGCAAGAGTCAGAAATGACTGGGGAGAAGTGGAGGAGGGTACCTGCGTGCACCATGCGAGGAGATCGTGAGCAAACTCTGGGCTTCTATCCACGCTCGTGGGGTATATTTTGAAAACGTATATGGATTCATGGGAAGGAAGATTTATGAAGGAGACAAATAATACGGAGGTATCAGTGAGCTGAAGAAACAATCGTCGATGCTTGGCACCAACTTGACCATTGATAGCCTTTACTCTTACTCAGGCAATCGCGTTTTCGAGGTAATCGAAGAAATGCGGGCCCAAATTTTCTATTGATCACGCAACTTCCTCTCTTTCTTATAGTTTATTAGCTTAATAAATTGTTTTGGTCAGCGGCTGTGTCATTTCGAACATATGCAAAGTTAAATTTTCTAGAGAAGAATGAAGGAAAATTATCCATTTTCTTGAGATAGAACTTGCTATGGCCTACAAGGTACTTTCGAATAAGGTACACTTTCCATATTGACTTTTTCTGAAATGTTCTGAAATGCGAGTTTCGTTGAAACTTATAAGTGGCTACATCATTTATCGCAGACCAGCGACTTTTTCGCTCTTCGATTCATTGATTGGATGGTCAAAAAGAGGGATCACCGCAGGTGATCGAACTGCGCGCCAAAGGATTAAAAGAATCGAAGAGAGAGCCAGCCCCGTTCTCCTCCCCATAATATCAGTAATGTTCAGTTGCTTCATCTTCTTAGATCTCTCATCTTAGGAATTGTTTCTCGGTGTTTCTAGTTATTTTGTTGTACTCTTGTCGTTGTCATTATTATCTTACTCTACTCCTGGTGTTATGAAGAACTTTTTATGATCTCCTATTGAGCTAATCTTCTTCGGTGTTAGTTGTTACTTAACGTTGAAATTCTAGTTTTCTCATTTTTGTTAATAGAAGTCTAATCACCCAAGTTTGAGGCTTTCAACAACTCGCTCGCATTGCAAGGCAGTCGATACGCGAGGTTCTATCCTAACCAAACCTTTTCGTGGTGCATCGGGATCAGCAGTAACGACTCCGGATAACAGGTGCGGCCTAGTGAAGAAGGTTAGTGCAGTGCAGATCGGCGACAAGTCGTTTAAGTTCTTATCGTTTCACTTTACTGATTTGATTTGCAATTCCTACGTGTTTTTTGAATCATCTTAGTGATATGATCGGCGATTTGTGCGATTTGCGAATTTTCCCTTCGCTTCGACAACACGAAAGAAAGAAAACAGAATGGTCGGACAAGCCCAATCAATTCCAAAAAGGATCCCCAACTAGGTATTCTAACTTTATAAGCCCTATCATTTCGAAACATTACAACACAGTTGAAAACGAAAGCTCCCAGTTCTCATAAAGATGTCTACAGAGCTGAATCATTTCTTGAAGCTAGTAGGGGATACGCTCGAAAACTTCACAAGAACAGCAGGCGAAATTACTGAGCCGTTAGCAGAGGATCAAAGAAAACAGAACGAAGAGTACAAAGGAATGGACACACTAAGCGGAACACCTACAGAGGTAAAATACGCACAAGTCGAGCTACCTGCCATCCCAATCCCCATGTTCAGTGGGAAACTCATAGGCTGCTTTTATAATCCGGCCGGCGAGCCGGCGAGCCNGGGGGGCGGGGGAGCCGGCGTGCCACGAGGCAGTGCTAGGGGGAAGAGGGCCGCAGACGGTTGGTCGAAGGGCTGAAAACAAAGAAGAACAAGATCAAAAACCAAACAATCAGGGCTTGTACAGATGGTTTTTGATCGTGTCTCTCCTCGTTTACAGCCCTTCGAGGGGCTGACCGACCGTCTGCCGCCCTCCTCCCCCCTAGCACTGCCCCGTGGCACGCCGGCACGCCGGTAGGCCGGCCGGCCGGCAGACTATGAAAGCAGCCATAGAATTCGAGAATTTCCCGGTCAGTGCAAATGTGCACAACCAGAAGCTCTCGAGCTTGCAGAAATCCAATTATCTGCTACAGAGCCTGAAAGGTGAAGCAAAAGCGGTAAAGCGATACTCGGTAACCGAAGAAAATTGCGCCGCAGCCGTGGAAATGCTCCATTCAAAGTTCGGGGATAAATCTAAGCTCATTCACGAATTAGAAGTACGACTCGAGCGAGCCACAACAAATGGGACACATATCAGTGAACAAAGAAGACTGTTTGAATATGTACTGGCTTTGACTACCCAGTTGGAACAAAATGGAATTTCTTTGAATGGCTCGCTCATCACCAAAGAGTACTGGCAAAGTTCAAACAGAGCCTTCGAAGAAAAGTACTTCAACTACAAGACGACGCAAATAGGGGGGAAGAGGACTGTTGGGTAAACAAACTTTTAATTGACTTGGACAGGATATTAACTGCTGAAGAAAAAGTCAACGAAATGTTAGCGAGCAACGAAGCTCCACAAAACAGAATCGAACCAACTTATGGGCGACGACAACTTGAAAAATTACCTGACCGACCTTTCTCATTACTCTACTGCAATGCAACTAACCATTTCTCACAAGCATGTACCAAGATTGCCTCTGTTGAAGAAAGGACCAAGTTTCTGATGAAAGCTGCTACACCGAGCTTCGTTCGCATCCTCTTATGTAGCCCATCGCGTTTTTTGAACTCTTCAACCCCTTTTAACATATTGTCATCGTGCAAGATGCTACATCGAGTTCTGCTCGCATGCTCTCAGCTAGCCCATCGTATTTTTCATATCCTTTTATCGTTTTGTCGTTCGCATCAGGCAACCCCGTGTCCGTTCATGCTGCGCTGCTTCGTATCTACTCGTTTTTTGCGTACTTAGTTTCAATTAACGACGTTTACATTATGCGCACCTCTCATGCATTTGAGCGATTAATTCTCAGTTTAGTGCCGCACGCGCGACGAGCGAGCGAAAAGACCGCGAGTGCACAATTAAGTCTTCAAGTCGCGCACGTGGGGCGAGCGAGCAAACTGAGAGGAAAGATCCCGGTGACTATTGAAGTTTGAAGTGACTAGTGAAGTGCGAGGCAGTTCAGTGTCAGTTAGCTAAAGATCAAAATTTTCATTTCGTTCTGCAAAGGAGAGTCTGGTCGCGCAATTCCAGTCGATTTCGTGCAAAAATAGGAACAAAAAAGAAAATGTCATCAGAAAAGCGCGACAACGACTTCCACCGCAAAACGTCCCAGTTGAAAAAATTGAAAGATGCACTATCGCCCCTACCAACACCTGATCGGCTGCACAACGACATAATCAAATGTTGCAGTGAAACAATGTATACTATTGAGCTCATTGATAACATTAGTTCTGACATTGCAAACTTCTTTGACTACAATGACCCATGGCCAGTTCTAGTGAGAGAGGCTCGTATTAAGGAATTGACTGTCGAAAACTATTCTCTACGTTTGCAATTCTTGCAAAGCTACCCCTCTCTTCTGTTGTGTAGTAGTGTGTAGGCCGTAATTTTACGGGATTTGAAGGGTCGGGCAGTACGCAGCGAAACCCAATGCGCGGGAATGTGCAATGGGCGGTGGGCCGTGAGCAAGGAGTTAGTAGTTGAGTACTCACCGTGGCCGAGGAAGGCCGTCACCGTCGTCGTTCGACCCCGCTGGAGTTCTGCTGCCGCCGAAGAATGGAGCCGCGTACTGTCCCGACCGTAAGTTTAGTTTGGGTGTTTGTTTTGCGTATTGTAATCGCTTTTATAGCAACTGCTTTGGGTTGAAAGTCTTTTGCTGTAGTAAGAAGAATTTTTAATTGTTTTATTGAACTTCTCGTTTGATTGCCTTTTCTTTTTGATAAAGAAGTTTTATCACCAAGCAGTATGCTTTCACTCGAACGGTTCGTAGCCGTAACTTTTTCTTGGTTTCTTCTCCATTCTTTTAACCTAATCAAAACCTAACTCTTCTTTTCTCATCAGTAGTTCTCAATCGCGATGAAGGCACTTTCCGAAAAAAGCATGGGACTCCGTATGAGCAACCCGCAATAGTATTCCTATGTTTCGGGAAAGAACTTCCGCTCCCCACTTTGAAAAGGCCATTCAAAGGATCATGGAAGACTGCGAAGAAAAGATAAAGGACTTATTTCGAAAGTAAGAGACGTTATTGCGCACTTCAAGATCGCACTCGACACGACACTTTAAACAAACATATTTGCGAATCACTCGATCAAATCATCGGCAGACTCAATCAAATGCAACAACAACAAGACACCCAGGACGGATCTTCGAAGATCTCGGAAGCGAATCACGACGAAAGAGGAAACACGGAAGAATCGAACGAAGCAGAAAGAATACGCGACAATATCGATTACATGGAAGCGGTAGACGAGCAGGACGAAGAAAGCCTTGAGCGAAACAATGAGGACAAATGTGAAGATCAAGAAGAAAACGAGCAAAACAATGAAGACGAATATGACAACGAAGAAGCAAATAACGAGCGAAACTACGACAACCAAGAACTCGATGAAAGTGAAATTTTGGAAGAATTTGATGACCTGGAGAAGGAACTGGCAGAAGTTCACTACAGAATACGTGATTTGTTGAGGATGCGAACATGTCAGCCAAGATTGTTTGAGAGTGGTGTCACCCGCCAACAGGAGAGAACGATGCTCTGCTCTTTCTGTTACGCTCCGGGACATCATTACAGTGATCCTTGCACAAAAATCAGTGGAGCCAAAGAAGAGGCACACCTAAAAAGCCGTGGTCGCTACACTATATGTTTACAGTTGGATTGTCAGGAAGGATTCTATAGCAAAAAGTACTCCATACGGTGCCACCACTGTAAGAAAACACGGCACGCATCAGCAATCTGCAAACTTCCAGAAGAGTCCGTCGAAATCTTCGCTGAAAGGAATAACCTCGAGAACATCGCAGAACAGATGCTGAAGAGACTGGAAGAACTACGCCGACGGGTGTAAAAGGGCATCAATATACCCATCCGTATTTCGATCGAAAAATTCTTTTGACCTCAACCTTTAAGCCCCCCTTTCCTTAAGACCTTGCGATCTTTGCAATCGTTAATGATTTCAGTAACCTTCGGTTGTTTTGTTGTATTTTATCACATATTAATCTCAGTTATTGTTTCTAGGTGTTTCTAGTTATTTTGTTGTACTCCTGTCGTTGTCATTGTTATCTCACTCTACTCCTGGTGCTATGGAGAGCTTTTTATGGTCTCCTATTGACCTCATCTTCTTTGGTGTTTGTTTTTACTTACCGTTGAAGTTCTTGTTTTCTCATTTTTGTTAATAAAAGTTCAATTATCCAAGTTTGAGGCTTTCAACAACTCGCCCGCGTGGCAAGGCAGTCTATACACGCGGTTCTACCCTGACCAAACCTTTTCATCATTATTGAACTCAGTGTGTATTCGAATTCCTTCCCGGGATTCATTCAAATCTTTCCGGGATATAAGGATAACTTCTCCCAGAGCTTACGGCAACCCCGTAATCTTTTCGGGATTCTTGTGTGCAGATTTAAACCGAGGCTACAGAACATTACATTTATGCATCGAAAAGTATTACATTCTCCAACAGCAGAATTAATACATGCGTACGAAGAGCCTTTCGAACATCTTTATTGGTCCTCACTACTTGGAATTATCTACTTGCGAAACAAAAAGCATACGCGGCATACAGAGGCGAAAAATTAGTAGGGGACTCGGCTCTAACAGTAACCTCAAGTTTGTTCACCACTCACCCCGTGTCCTTGCCCAAAGCCCCTTTTCGACGCGTAGTATATGTGACGGGTGAGAATTCTCGGGTTATGTATGCTCTGTCAGATTACTCTAACAATAGGAGCCGAGTGCCGTACTGAATTTTAGTTCCTGTAAGCGGCATTCATCCATGTTCTCACCGTTCCCTCCAATAACCCAAATAGCACTGGCTATTCCTTCGCATCTTTAATTCAAACATTAGCTGGTGATATAAACGTTAGAAATGTCGAGTACTGCGTAACCTATAAGAATACACATATAGAAACCCATCTTTATGATTCACGACGAATATCGTAACAACAATTTATCACCGCCCAGCATTGACAAACCACTCAATCATAAATTATAGAATCTGCATAATTAAGTGTCGTCGTCGTCAGTTCCATGTTCCGACTGGTAATAACGATGATTGTATTATAACATAAACAGGCGGGATGAAAACGACGACAAAGAACTCAATTCGAAGGACTACCATAATATTCACCTCCAACATCCTACGTCACGCACCCATTCGTGAAAATCGTATAACATTTGACAATGTAGATATGAAAGCGTGTGATGCATGAAATGTCATAGCGTTTGCGCCGTTCAATGAAGACCAGTGCAACCCATCTACATCTCCAACTGACGTAGAGTATTCAGTGTATCGTCAATAAGCACTCAATATCAATGTTGAGCTAGGTTAGCAGAGCTTAGTTGCCTATGAAAGGAGTAGCTTAGCATAAGAGATACCTTGGAGAGAAAAATTATGCTGTCGCGACTAACACTTCCTACTCGGCGTCGTCGAAACCAGAATGGACTGCAGTGATCACAAACACACGCTTAAATTGAACAACAATATCTTTTTTCACGCAACAACACATGAAAACGATTCTAAAGAAGATGTCTCGTAAAATAGTAGTGAATCTCTCTATAAAAGGCACGCGTTTCGATGCTCGTACAGGGACACAGTCATAACAATTCGGTAGCAACATAAACACACAGACGAAACTCGAATGAATGAACGAATGGATAGATGAATGAATGAATGAATGAACAAATCAAAAGTGGATTAATATGTAAAGTCTGTAAAAATGAACTAGCTCAAGACAGCTCAATTACCTCCGTTAGTGATAAAGCACAAGACAACTAAGATTACATCAGCCAGAGCAGACTTCTGAGTTGCGGCTCACAGCATGTAAATGGGGCTTCGAGTGAATGTAAAAGGATATTTAATGATTATCGCCCATAGGATATTCTGTTACAACGACAACTCGGTGGAGGTACTTGGACTGAATTCGACAGAGTGACGCATGAGTGATTACCATTAGACGAATCGGAGCAAATACAAAAAATGTTGAGCGCGAGTTCACCGCCTCCTCATCTATCAACTACCGGTACGTGAGGGAAAACAGGAAAAGAAAGACACAGCAGCAGATGGTGCAATTGACCAGCATTGACAGAAGTGGATCATAGACGGATAACAAACAAAACGAAATCAAAACCGTACATCAACTTGTGCGCGCAGAACGCAGAATAACGCATTAACAATCAAAATGCGCTTCTATACGATGATAATGATGATGTTATTGAGATGATATAATATAGAATAGATTTCCAAACTGTTACAACATATTTGGTATAGTTCAGCTTGGCGGCTTGACGAAATACTGCGCGACCAACACGAGCAAGAGAACGCGCTAGTCATGGCAACAGGTGGTTTCCACGTGATTCAGATGCACGAGGTGTCGTAGAGGTGTCCATAGCATCGTCTACTCGAGATGGCAACGTTGAGGGACTACCAGTTGCTGGTAGATGCGACGATTCGTGGTTAGTATGATTACCATGCATATGACCATGATCCAAACTGAGAAAAGAATATATAGATCATGTAATTCTTTCAATCCAGTGATCAGTATGTCAGAAAAAACTTCTAACAAAATCTCAAAACAGAAAAATGTCGCATGCCGCAACCACATACTCCATATAACAACATTGAAAATTTACCGTATTACTGTAAGAATAACTTTGTATTGCATTTTCTTGCCGTTATAACTTATGGTAAGAGCAATGGAGCGCTCCAGCGCTATGATTTCAATCGGCACTGATATTGCACTAAGCTACGAACGCGTCTGTCACAAAATTTTAAATTCGGATAACTCACTTTAATCTACGACCAGTCAAGTCGCCAAGCTAAGCTTTCCTTGTGGCACAGTGGAAGTGACACAGGGTCCCAATGAGGGAGTTTGCCCAGGTATATACTTGTACTTTTCTGAGCCTTCTAACCTTTTTACCTCCACGTAAGGCTTCAAGTGGGAATGTCTCATTACAGAGCACACTGGTCAGCAACTTTTCTTTTCAGCAATTTATCACTTCAAGGCTGACCAGTGCAAGGATGATGATCTTTTGATGGTGCTAACTGGAGCCCAACTTCATGCAACCCATGAGTAACATACTGAGAAGACCAAAGTACATACAATGGGACTAATTGGCGAGAATATTGAGAAACTTCGAAAAACTTGAAAAAGCCAAATGTTCAGTCCCCATGAGCTGAGGGAGGTAACTTGACGCCGTGAGTTTCGGTTTGCGAAGACCTTCAAACTCATTGAACACCACCCCTCTACGAGCCGAATACCAGCTGCTAATGAAAGTTGAAATGCTCTCGAAAGACTCAAAAAGATTGTGGTTAATATAAGATGAACCAATTTAAACAAAGTCCAAAGCTGATCTTCATCAAAAGTAGACCACGACACCAATTCGGAGGGATTACAAAGGTGAGATATAGTTGAAGTGCTTCTAAGGAATCAAAATGTAACTTGGATCTCTACTCANCTGAAATTCATGAGCATCTGAAAAAGCCTTCTCGAATTAGCTGGTCGCAAAAGAGTAATATTATGCTATGGCGAGGTCAGATCACAATTTGGAGTGGCAAAAGTTATCAAAGCATGGTTGGAGAGCGATGCTACGTTCAACATATGGCCCTGATCTCGGGCCATCCGAGTACCAATCTTTTCGGTAGTTATAGAAGTCCTCCAACGAGAAAAGCTTACTGAAGATGAAGATATCAAATCTAATGAGGTCCAGTTTTTAGCCGAAAAACCTGAAGTTCCGCAAGGGACAAGCTATAAAGTTACCACAAAGAAAGCAAAAGATAACCGAACAAAACTGGATTTATATAAGTGATTAAGATTAGTCTGGAAGGTGAAAAACATTTTATTGAGATGCTCAGAAATCGAAATCACTTCCTGAGCGCTGAACACAAATATTCTTTGATCAAACCACTAATTTTTTTCAAAATCACATATGATAGGGAATTTTCATCAGGCAAATTTCTTAGAGGTACAGCTCACGATGATTTTGAAGTGATCCTTTCCATTAAAAAAGCGGAGATTTAGGTTGGAGATAGTTCATTGTAATAAAGAATGAGAGAAAACGTTGATTTTGTGAAAAATAAGGCTCCCCAAACATAGCGATAATAGAGGTGGACGAGATTAGCATGACTGAAAGAAGACGGAAGGGGTATTTGGTCAAGATTTCTTTTGTCGCAATTGCGCAAAGAACTGACTAGAACATCAGGCTAGAACTATACTACTACTCCCACTTTCCACTACTTTCCACTCTCACTATGGGTCATGACAAGTCGTTTGTTCTCCCTACATTGGCTTCCTTGCAAATGGGCAGCCTCCACAATGCCGGTGAAACTCGCCCGGGGATGCATTGAGCCTTTACAACGCCCTATCTAGGCCCTTTTCAGGCATGACAGCGCCAAATACGATATACCGGTTCCTACAAATCCATTCTAGCGGGATATTTCAAAGGCCATTTCTACCGTGAACTGTGCCTTTAACGTGGGTGCACTAAACTGTATTGATGGTAATGAAGCCCTACCGACATCCATCCCTAAAAATCATTCCTATAAAACTCATCATGAAATCAGGATAGTCTCTGGCGTTATCTGCTCGCAACTGACTTCATTCACTCAGAACCGTGATGGGGGTTTGAATGCGTATGTGGCCCATAAAAGTATTAGGGTGTACCAAAAGTTTTAAGAAAATTTATTTGGTTTATTCAACACAAAAATACTACAACAGAAAGGTAAGATCAGTAATCGAGACAGTGGCGCTCTTTGGCCACGGCGTCCCTCCGTCGACTGGGCAGAGCACTGCCGCCATTCATCAAGAAAGAAGAGGAGCGCGACGCGATCCGTTCATCTACTGCGCTTTTGATTTC